AAATGTGTGGAATGACGTCCAAATGACGTCCTATATATAGGAGTGAGGCGCAGTACGGCCTCTGACATCAATACGGCCCGTACTGAAGTTTTGAACTATAGTACGGCCGTATTGAATTCAATACGGCCGTACTGAAGTTCAAAAACTTCAATACGGCCGTATTGGTTTTAGTACGGCCGTATTGTAGTTCAAAATGCTCAGTACGGCCGTACTGAACTTCCAGGAGGCTGTATTGAGCTCCAATCCTTCCACATTCTTATTTTAAGCTACTCTAAGACCTCTAAACCTACAGATAATCATCCTAGGGTCTTCCAGGGTCTTCCAGGAGTCCTTCCGGCTGACTTTCCTTCGGTCTTCGAGAGTCTTCGAGTCTTATTTCCGACCCGGACAATTTTAGGGGTCTACAGTGCTTAATGTAGAACATCCCATTCACATACAAAGCCATAGAGCCCCCACTGTCGGACAATGGTCAGTCAAAAGGGGTCTATGGAAAGAAGAAAGGGGAAGGGATCAACACAACAACCATCTCCATCATTCCTCAAAGGATGGAAATAGTGTCGGAAACAAAAAGTAAATTCGAAAAAATTCTTACAAGCTATACAGAGTTATTTCCTCAATTGTTGAAGGCGTCCGTGTTGGTGAGAATCCCACCACAAAGAAAGCAACAACCGCCTTACCCACAATGGTATAAGTCCGAAGAAACTTGCGATTATCACTATGGGGCAGCAGGGCATTCCATTGAAAATTGTAGGGCCTTGAATTTTTGCGTACAAGAGCTTATCGATGCTGGGTGGCTCTAGCTTAAGCGTAATGAACCAAATACCCATGAACAGCCAGGATGAGAAGTGATGTTGGAATGGTCTATTGAAAAACTGTTAGGGGCTCATTTTCAGAAAAAAAAAATTGTTTTAAATTCATGCTCAACTCATGACCTTCACCCACGGTCACGAGTTCATACAAAATAAGGGTTTGTTTTTACATTCAATCAATAACATACGTCATTTATACAGATCTTCGTCTCATTCTTTTCTCCCTCTTGGCATACACTAAATTCTAAAACCAGTCACAATAACAAAAAAAACAAAAACAAAAAAAAAACATGACTAAAGATAATAAAATTAATCAAAGCTTCGAACATCTACAACGCATTGTTTAAGTCTAAGGTAGATAAGGAGATCACTTCCTCGAAACAGACAAAGATAAGGAAGTGATCAGATGCAGAACCATAAGATTCGCATTACATAAGAGGAGTCTTACACAAATCTTGATCCATGAAAGGACTCTCAACACCCATAAGCCGGGGCAACATCTTTCTCCTTGGTGTATGGGAAGGGGGCAGTGTCAATCATCGAAGGCACTAGTCATCCTTTACGTGGATGGCAAGAAGTTTTGTCAAAGAAAAGAAGTATTATGCCCTAAAAACATCACTTGTAAAATATCGCTTGGATGAAAACCTGAAAAAGGCGTCCTAAGCAAAAAAAAATTAAAAGTTCTCGCTAGGATATGTCCTAGGCAAAAATTAGGATAAAAATAGCAAGTGACGACTCTTCAAGTTGAAAGCCAAAAGGCAACTTGAATATTTCTATAAGAGGCCAAAATTCTACGAAGACTGTGCCCGAGACTCAGACATGTAGTCCAAGATAATTAGGAGAATGATTATAATTATTATCCAAGGAAATGTTTGTTTAAAAACTTAAACACTGGCCTACCTCAACCACTCATTTATTCTAAACACCATTTGTATACCTTTTTGTATAAAAATTTTGAAATTAATAAATCATCATTTTCTTTCTTTTCTTTCTTGACCAATCATAATGACGTATATTGTTGATGGTTGTCAAAAATTAAACAAGTATAAGAAAAAGGAAAAAAATGAAAATGATCCATTGGGATGAAAACCTGCAAAGGGCATCCTAGGAAAAAATTACGGCAAAAGAATAAAGCAAAAATACCCGCTAGGATACATCCTAGGCAAAAGTTAGGGTTTTCAAACAAAAAAAAAAAAGATAGCCCCAAGATGGTTCAGTACATCAAATGGCCAATACAACTAATGTTGTGCACCAATCGAAGCAGTCTATTTGTGGGAAGGAGAAAATGAAATCCACCTTCTAAAAACTAAAATAAATACATGCATGGCATGCACCTAAAAGAATTTACACACTTAAGCAAATTTTCTTTATCCAAGGGGGATTATTCAAAATATGAAAAAAAAAACTATCATCCTGCATAAATAAGCATCCAACATTCTTTGCTTCTCATTGAGAAAAGCCAAAAAAGGAAACACAAGTTCCAATTGACATCACCTGAACAAAAGACGAAAACAGCCCAAACAAGGTGCATCAACAATGTCAAGCACAAACATTACTCAGGAGGGGATAGGATCCCAAGCCAAAATCCCTCTCAAACAAAGTATCCTTATTGCCTAACATCTCAAGGGCCCAATTCATCAAACACAAAACACTCCACCAACAAAGGAAATAGGATCACAAACCACGATCCTTCAGAAAACTCTTCCATCCACCGACATAGGGCTCTTTCTGACAAACCATATGCAAGTAATCAGGTTCAAGCATCAACCACTGGTGATGGCATCCTTACTAGCATTGGTGGAGAGATGATGACCAATGTGATGGAAAACTTGGTTGGAAATCCGGATTGATATTGAATTCCCTTCAAGCTCCTCCCTAGATCTTGGACTCCTTGATTCTTCCTAAGATTGGTTAAGGTCTCCTGTGGAGGAGGAGGCCTTAAGACCACCACGGTTGGTGGAGAAACTCTCCCAAGAGGCGCCACTCCTTGTTGAAGAGATAAGCCCTTTCAATTCTCACCACACTCTTCTATGAAAGGATAAGAGAATTAGATGAACTCAAAGAGGTTTAGGGACTTTTGGAAGAGAGAAATCTGAACTCTATTCAGAATATACAATCTCAATTACATCAAAAGTGTCTTACAAGGTAAGGTTTACAAGTATATAGGAGTAGGAAGCTTAGAGTGCAAGCTAGTCTTGACCATGGTTCACTAGGAACCATGGTTGAGTCTAGCTAAACCGTCCAAGGTCAAGAGGCTTGAAGAGCAAGCTTCTCACTTAGCTTGCTTGGTAAGCTTGCTAAGGAGAAGCTTGTGCTTCAAGCTTCCAAGCTACAGAACCATCCAACAATTCGGCCAAAGGCAAGTGTGAACACACTTCTAAGGTGGGCGGCTCTTTGGAATTAAATTACTCCATCTGGTTTGAAAATAGTTAATTTGGTTTAGTTAGGTTCATTCAATGTGAATGGACCCTAAACCCTAAACCCTAAACCCTAAATCAAATCTATGAAAAATTAGGAGTAAAATGAGTCCAATATGTAAATTTT